CAAGGCGACATAGACGAAAAGGGATATATGAATATTTGCAATATGACAACGACGGTTGTCGAATTCAAAAATGCCATTATCTGTGATGGATGTTGCTCGTGTTGGGGCTTTAATTGAGGATGGCCGAAGTCAAACGTTATGTGTCCGATAAGGATGATTCACAGTACACCGGACCGTGCCCGAGCCGGGCACGTCCCGTGAAGTAGACACCGAGGAACGTCCGATCCTTCTGTATATGCTACACCAAGTTGATAACGGGGTTCGTATTAGTTCCGCGAGTATATTAGAAAACACAGCCCCATAGACACACGAAGATTTAATACGAACAATGCCAAAGTTCTCGCAGTTGGAATTGGTACCAATTGCAGTTGATGAATAAAGAACAACACCTGCAGGGGAAACACCTGCTCAAAGGAAAAGATGAAGCATCTATCTTGTTCATTACATCATTTCATTGTTCAGTTTTACGCATACCCTGTCGTCAAATACTGGTGTAAGATTAACTATACCTACTAATACCTACTACATACATGATAAAAAGTGTACTTTGGTTATATCCTGACTGCAGATTGCAGTCAGGGCACCAGGAAAAGTACATTCATGCTTTCCGCAACATGGCGGGAATGGAGCGGATCCGAGAAAAAAATGTACGCCGACATTTCTGGGACGGGGCACGGACGAGTTCCGGCGAAGCTCGGATCGTGCTCGGCCTGGCATGAATATATATGTGTAAAGAACACTTGACATTGTTTGGCCGTGTCTTCACCGACGCACGGCTCGGACCCGTTACGGTATAGCGTGAAGCATCCTATACCCTGGGTATACCTCAAACAACAGTCCAGGATGCCTGGAATCGGTATATGGAAACGGGAAATTTCACCAGGCAAGTGGGTTCTTGGAAGAAAACGGAAGACAAACGCAATTGACGACCGCTTTATTATTCTGAATACTTTACGATATCGTAGAATTACAGCGTTTCAGAATCAACATCTGCTACAAGCCCTGCGTAGAACTCAAGTCAGTGAGAGAACAATCCGACGAAGACTCAAAGAAAACAGCTTGTCTGCAAGGAGGCCTGCCACAGGACCTCAACTACTTCCAAGACATCGCCATGCCCCGTATATGCTCAAAATAAATTGGGAATAAAAATTTCTGACAAAGCATCCGTTAAGAAGGAATTAATTTACAATTTAAAAAAAAATCATCAAAATCTAATGAGTGGTTCGCGAGAAAACCAACTTTGAAATTGGGACTAGTTTTTAGTGGCCGGTTTTTTGCCGGTGAGTGTATAATTTTATATCCTATATAAAATTTGGTATTATCTGAGGAGTAAATTGATATTAAATTTATTTTAAGAATGTTCAGCGAGCGTTTAACTCTTAGATCTTATAAACTGCGTGGATAAAGCTATGCCATATGTATATTACACACGACTTTGTTTACGGGACTTTCATAAGCCAGTTTTCTATTTATTTATTTCTAGAACGAGATTATCGTATAAACCTATCCTTCTCTCTGAATACGCTACTGAACATGCGCAGAACGATAGTCGACGTGAATGCTAACTTGAAGCGTTTTTTCGCTGCGTTGACAATAATTACTAAAAATTTAGACCATTAACATTTTTTAATCAAGATATAGCTGATACCTGTATTATTATTTTGAAAATATTTGTCGTATTATCTCAGTATAACTTTTTATATAAATTTTAAACAAAAATTAAATCATATAACAATAAATTATTTTTTAAAAATGTTTTAATATACTACTTTGAAAAATAGCTATAGTAAACGCCACGAATGTTTGGGAGTGATTCATCGGTCGCTACCATGTGAACTAATCTGTTCAAGGTCACATAAAACTTAATTCCAGTGCCGTGGTGTTTCAAGTCATATAATAATCAATATATAATCTGTTGTAATTTGTTGTTTTAACTGTCAAAGACTTGCCAAAACATATATTTGGTTATAAATATAAACTGGAATGCCCCATTGGTCGCAGTGCAAGCACACCAATGGACTGACGCACAAAAACGAATCAATCAAAGAAACGCGATATAGTATCGTCTTTGTCAATCACGCTAACATTTTAGAATAAGTAGGAGAAGCGCAGGCAGATGATTAGACCGGGCCGTTAAAACCTACGTCTGCGGTAAAAAATGACGCTTTAAATGTAAAAATGATAGCGCGCGTGTCGTTTCTAATTTCATCAAGCGATGAATCACTCCCAAACATTCGTGGCGTTTACTATATGATGAATGGGCAACACATAGAACGCATGCAGTAACCAAGGAAACATTAAAATATGTTTTGACATTGAAAAGTCAAAACAATAAAAAGATTAATTAATGACACTTTTGGAGAAGGCAAAACACAATCCGAAATCAAAACGCATAAAGACGAAACAAGATTCGATAAAAATAGTATATTGTTTTATTAGGAGTAAAAATAACACTTTTGGAGCGAGGCTGTACAGGGTGTACCGTACATTTTCGTGTGTTTTACAGGGTATCTGGCTTGCGGGTAGAGATACAAAGATGCGGTTTTCACGTCACTGTGCTATTTTTTTATGAAACTAAAGATGCTACACACAGATTTGTCCTAGCCCTCTTAGTTTCTGAAATACTGGGCGAAATTGAAAATATTGCATTTTTAAACCCCCTTCATATTTCGGTTATCTTATACCTAATCTAAAAGGTGAAAACTGAGCCTAGTAGACATTTCCACGTGGAAGTCAGTGGCATAACTAGTTTTTCGTTGGGAGCTGCCATTCTCAAAATATAACCTAAACTTTTGTTTTTTTTTTAAATGGGACAAGCTATATGTTATTGTTTTATTTAATTTGCTTTGTCATGAGCAAAATGTTCTAGAAATTTAATATACCATAGACTTGTTTTCATAAATAAGGTAAAAAAATACATTTTTTAACTTTTTAACATAGGTAGCCGGTTTATAATAGATAGTCATAACAATTGAATGATTTATTCAACGTCAAATTTTTTGGCTATTGTCTTCTCCATGCTAGTTTCCGTGTTATTTTTTGATTCACTGTAGGTACTAAACATGGCAGAACAACAAAATTTTGATTATTTTGAAAAATATGACATAAATAGCCAACGACGATTCTGATGCAGCGGCAGAGCTCTATTTGGACAGATAGGTTACTAGGTACAGGTATCCTTGTAATTAAAACATTGTAATTTATCGTATTCCAGATATCCCGCCTATTTCGGAAAATACAGAGCAACCTAATTCAATATGTATGTTTTAACAAACAGATCAAAAAGATATAACAAAAAAAATGAAGCATCTGGGGTAAATGTTTTAGTATCAGGTGACACCACACCAGAGACATCTTGTAGTCTAGGGTATTATTAGAAAGCTCATATCAAAAACGGCATACAGTGTTGCTAGAATTTATCGTAGATTTAAGAAGTATAACAATATATTCAGTTCTATTTAAAATATCCAAGTTGGCATCTAGTTTAGGTATAACTGGGTTTATTAGAATCTTCAAACTATTTTAGCCGAATGGTCCCTATCAATAATATGTATGCTAAAACTTTCTAGACTTCTCCTTACTGTACTTTTTGCTATATCAATTAAATTTTTCACGAGGGACAACTTGTATGCATAATATTTAGAAGTATGAGACACCCTTCTTTGTATTAAGGTGATCTATTTAATAAGGAATTGAGTAACATTAGTATCAAGAATGTCATTATTTTTTTGCTACTAACTTGAGTGGTTTGTATTTTAAAGTGTTGTTTGTAACTCCTAATTAGAACTAATATTTACTTAAGTAATTTTTTATAAATTGTGTTCATAAAAAAATAAAGGAATTAGTTAATTAAAGATTTCGAAAAAAATATGGTATGATAATAAAAATGGATATGTCCTACACATAAAAAATATGTACAGTAATCACAAAAAATTTTCCGATGCACGTCATCAATCATATCGAAATTGGCACTAAAGCCTATAAACCTGACTAAATGAAATTTTGGCAAAAATGTTTAAATTTGTTGTGTAATTTGAGATAACGAACAGTTCTTCAATTTACTTTATAGAGCAAATAATTGTAACAGATATTTTATTTAGATTAAAACTGCAAAAATTAGTATAAACCGAATTTTATTATCGCTATCTTGGTCACATTGCGCCGTGTTCAGCAACGTTGTCGTTTATTATTTGCCAATTATCATAATGTCAGTCATTATTTTTTATAATATCGTGTTGTTGTTGAGTCTTTGTTAGTAATTCTCGTTTTTTGTCTATTTTTATAGTCATCTTTTAAAAATTGTAGTTTTAACCACAAACAGTTCTTTTAAGAAATAAATTTTTGAGTTTTTGTATTGCATTTCTTTAAATTGTGTGTTGAAATTATGCCGAAGCATTTAAACAGTCGAAGCAAAGAGCTTGTAGCTTCCCTGATAAACTATTTTGAACGAGAGCGTGAAAATAAAGGTGCTTTATTACCCTTAATTGCACTAATAGAAGTAAGATTGATTGGTAAGCACATTATACCACTTTCAAAGTTATTTCTACGTTAGTTTTTAGTATAATGGACTAGTTTTTGCAAATATGTAATAAGTAAAATAAGCTATAAAACAAAAAATCAATTAATTACTAAAATATTTATTATTAAATAAAAGATAAAACGTAAAAATCTTTAAATTAATTAAAAAATTATATAATAAATATATTGTTTCCCAATTTTACATTAAGATTTATCCCATAAATCCATTACAATCTGGCAGCGCAGTCGCCATCGCTTGTCACTCAAATTTGATCACGTACATCGGAAATTGTTTTGCGATTACCGTATTTGATTTTATTTGAAACTTAATTTAGATTAGTGATATTATCCGAATACCATTTCTTACCATATTTCACAAATTCGCAGTCATCTTTGATAGGTGTAGCATTAGTTAATTGAAAGTAGGTATAAATGATAAAATTTGAAAAATATTTGACTTCGTATTATTTAACTCGACTTACCTATTATTCTTAGCACTACTATTAACACTACTATTTTCTAGCTGTCTATTATCTCCACTATTCTCTTGCACCGTATACGTGGTCACCGGAAACAGTTTCAACTTATTCACTATATTGTTCCGGTTTTCTTTTTCCGTCCAACCGTCTTTCGCGTGCTGCTGACCGTCGGCTTGACCGCTCATGTACAAAATACTTTCGGAATGGTGTCTTTGGGGCGTTTGGACGCGGGCACTATGAGCTATGAGCTGCCTGGACGAGGGGCTGGACTGGCTGCTGGCTAGGTGGGTACAGGAACTGCTTGCTACGGACACGTCGCTCATTGAACCTAGAAACCACAAATATTTTCAGTGCGAAATTTGCAATTTTACAAGTAATTTAAAATCAACAAGTCAATCATGATTTTTCAATAAAATCTTTAAATTCATCACCATAGTTATTTTCTTGGAGATATTCACTTTTAAAGAACTCTGTAACAATTAATAACAATTATAAGTAATTTTAATTAAAAACATGCCTTTGTTTTGGTCCTGATCAACACACTTAACAAATAATGTTTATTGTTTTAATAATGTCACTGTCAGTAATATACATATATGACTTTTTTGGAGAAATGTCACTGTGATTTGAAATGTCATATTATTATTGTTTTTGGCAGTTCGAGTAGAGATGATTTGTATACGCTATAATAGAGATCAATTTCTGGACTTTTTGGACCCAGACCAATTCCAACTATCACTACTAGAAAGAAGGACTTTGTAGAAGCCGCATCAGCTGCTAAGCCATTTACCAAATTAAAGTTAAATTAAACTATATTAATGAACCCAAACCAGATGCCCTAATGAATTGGAACAAAGACTGCAGATTATTAAAATCAAGTACGGAAGCCAGATTACCATTTAGACCAAGTGATTGTCTTGAGTTAAAGAAGGAGGAAGATTCTATTAGGAGATGGTGCACTGTGAACTGGTTGCCACAAAGAGAGTAGGTAGGCGGGGGTCACCTTTTAAAAGAAAAGCACGCGAGAAATAGCAATGGCCCAATCTGAGCCAATACCAAATGACTTCTTCATTTCTGGAGAATGACCAAACTACAGGAGCTTGGAAGAATTAAGGTTTACATTTATACAGGGTGCTACAAATTCGAGGTACGAGCATTGGTATCTAGGAAACCGTAATAGATACGAAGATGGTTAAATTGGGGCAAAGTTGCGCCTTGGGATGTTTGCCAACATGCTATCAAAAAAGTTTAAAAAAATTCAAGGATTGTTGAGTTTTTTGAGAAAAACGGATTTTTTGGAAAATCAATTTTATTTTTTCCTGACGTTATTTTATAGAAAATCAAAAAACTAATGGCACATTCTCATGGCCACTTTATCAGGGCTATCTGATTAGTATTTTTAGATTTTCAAATTAGCTGATAATTTGTGAGATACAGAGGCCAACTTATTTTTTTTAAATAAGGACCTGTATTTTTTATTTCAGGTTTTGAAAGAACTCTGTCTCCTGAGTACATATCATTGCCACACTTAATATTTTTTTGTGTTTTGGACATTTGGAAACAATTTATTAAAATTTAAACTAATTTCAAGTCCGACTCTGTTTTTTTTTAATATTTAATCTATTGATCTTTACAATATTGATAAGCTTTCCAACTTAACAATGTCGTGGGGTAAAATATTGAATAAGGAAAATCAAACGAAACAAAATAATAATGAATGATATAAAATAAAAAATTAAATATGATATAATATAAACAATCAAGTTATTTTTCCGGAAGATGGATTTGAAATGGTAGAGTAGTATAATGGCGGAGGTTCCTAGATCTGTCGGCAAAGGGTGAGGATGGGGGCATTTTTTGACTTCATTTGTAAAAGTTAAATCAATACATTTCAACGTTTAAAATAAAGAGTACAAAAAACATTCGGAAGTAGGTATAGAAGAAGATATGTTCAAAGAGCTATAAATAAGATTGAACGAAAAATAAATCAATTTGTGCATTAGGGAGGGTGGTAACCTTTTTTTTTCGAACATGTAGAGCATTAGAAACTACTTTTTGAATGAGAAGTTGATTTATTTATAATAACTACGATTAATATTATGCATATTATTGATCGTACACTAAGATTTCAAATTCGCAATAAAAAAAGTTAAAAATAATATTTTTAAATTGGTGCCCTGGATATTATTTATTTGAAAATTTCAATTGGCTTGATTTTCCTTATTCAATGTTAATTAGTGCTGATCAATATTTTTGCGACGAATATAATCAGATTAAATAATTTAAAAAAACGGAGTCGGACTTATTATTTTAAATAATAATTAAATAGTTTTGTTGTTGTCAAGGTACCCCAAAAAAATATCAAGTGTGGCATATCATTGTACTCAGGAAACCGAGTTCTTTAAAAACCTGTAATAAAAAATGCAGGTCCGTATTTAAAAAAATTAAGTTGGCCTCTGTATCTCACAAATTATCAGCTAATTTGAAAATCTAAAAATACTATCAGATAGCCCTGATAAAATGGCAATTAGTTTTTTGAATGTGCAATTAGTTTTTTGATTTTTTAAAAAGTAACGAGAGGAAAAAATAAAATTGATTTTCAAAAAAATCCGTTTTTTCCAAACCAAACCAATGCTCGTACCTCGAATTTGTAGCACCGTGCATAGTTAATTTAAGTCTCATGTTGCTTCCCACTCTGCCTGAATACCACTTTTTATTTTGAACAGATGTAAAAGTTTTAGTTCAGGGATAGAAAATGCGACTGGTATAAAATCTCCATCATTCGCCGCAGTCTTAGCAATCTTATCAGCATCTTCATTATCTCTTACGCCCATATGGCTAGGAATCCATACTAGAACTACAGTTAAGCCTTTAGATATTGAGGAACGATGCAAGTCGAGCGATTTAACGACTAGAGGATGTTTTGAACTGTTTGAATCAATGCATTTAGTGACTCTGAAGATATAACCCATTTGGAAAGAGGTAGGTTGGAGATTATACTTAGTGATTCCTTAATACCAAAGAGTTCGGCAGAAAGAATACTGTTAGTAGGAAGTAAGCGACATTTATACGACACACTGTTATGGAATACAGTGCAGTCTGCTGCATATAAGAATTTGGAACCGTCCGTGTATATTATACTATCTGGAGATAGATCTTGAATAATATCATGAAATGATGCTTTGATTAAAGGTGGAGGGATGCTTTCGAGAGTAGCTGGTAACATGGAGAGTAACTAGTTATCCCTTCAATGCTAAAATTGGTGTAAAGCTTGATTTTCATGCATCCGTTGTCCGACGATACGATGATACGATATTAATTTTATTGGTTGAATTTAAAGACTTTAATTGGTTAACCGTTTCTAACCACTCGAAGTTTTTAAAATCAACCAATAAAATTAATATCGTATCAACGTATTGTCGGATAACGGATGCATGAAAATAAAGCTTAAATTGTTACTGTCTTCGTCAAAGGCGAATATCTCCAGTAAAAATATAGCTATTGAGATAAACTTAAAATCAAACTATCAATCGAAAAAATGCACCTTGATAATAAAGATTAAGATGGTTTTAATGGTAAATTCTTTACTTTGTTAAACCATTGCACAGAGTGTTTCAAACTTTTGTTAAAATATAATTTAGATTTAACTAAAACGTATTCAAATAATTTACATTTTGTTTTCCCCGGTATAATATAGATGGAGACTTAATTTGTTTATTTAATAATAAGCTAATAAGTCAAATAATAATTCAGCTACAAATGGCTTCAAAATAGACCTACTAGAACAAACAATATTGAACTTGTGAAAATACATGTGAATTTTCAGGTGTCCATTTTTCGGGCCGGTTAGTGTAGTTGGTAAGAACAAACCAAAAGCTATTCTTATTATAGTATCCAACTCTCTCAAGATTGTAGGGATATTTTATCTTATACACGTATTGTCAAATATTTCTGTATGAAAACTTAAAAGTAGAGTAAATTATCAGTATCAGGAATTTCAGCGACAGGTATAGTAAAGCTCGAAAATAAATAATAATTTTTACCCCTTTTGTGATATTTTTCTTAAATTACACTTTGGGTTAAATTTGGGTGTTATACAAATCACTACCAACCACTAGAACACCCTCTCTAAGCATACAATTTTGCATAGTGGTTTGAGATATTGCCATTATAGCCTTATCTTAAAATACAACTCTAGTTCACTTCTTCTTCTTCTTAAGGTGCCGACTTCTTGCGAAGGTTGGCGACCATCATGACTAATTTTATTTTGTTGACTGCTGCCCTGAACAGGTCGTTTGATGTACAGTTGAACCATTCTCTGAGATTTCGAAGCCACGACATCCGTCTTCTTCCTATACTTCTCTTCCTTATTATTTTACCCTAAATAATTAGTTGTAGAAGCTTGTATCTTGTTGTACCTCTCATTACGTGGCTCATGTATTGGAATTTTCTGATTTTCACCTCTTGGGACAATTCTAGATCTTTTGAGACTCTTCGTAAGACTTCTTCATTGGTAATTCTGTCAACGTATGATATCCGGAGTAAGCTTCTGTAAAGCCACATCTTGAAGGCATCTATCTTTTTAAGCATTTGTTTTGTTAGAGTGGCAGCTTCTATACCATAGAGCATTATTGTAAATATGTAGCATCTTAGCATTCGTATTTTAAGGTGGTTACTTAAAGTTTTGCAACAAAAGAATTGCTTCATTTTAATAAAGGTGTTACGTGCTATTTCAATTCTCGTTTTTAATTCTGATGAGTAATCATTGTTGTCGTTGATCAGGGTTCATAGATATTTATATTTATAGACTCGCTCTATTATCTGATGGTTTACGATCAGTTGAGTATTTTGATTTGGTGTTTTGGTAAATAAAATGAATTTTGTTTTATTAAGGTTCATATTCAAGCCATAATGGATACTTGTTTCATACACTTTTTGGACCATTCGTTGCTAGTCCTGTATACTTTCTGCTAGCAGTACGGTATCATCTGCGTATCGTATATTGTTTATAGGAACTCCGTTTACTACTACTCCAGCTGCTTCATTGTGTAATGCCTCCCTCATGATGACTTCCGAGTACATATAATAGCGGGGAAAGTATACATCCCTAGTTCACTACAATACACCAAAATACCAAACCAAAACACTTTACTTTTACCATGCTCAGCGGATAATTAAAACTCACTGTATATGTATTATAGTTAGCAAATTACACGTCTAATGTTAAAAATCAACAGTAAAGTGTTTTGGCGTATTTTGGGGTCCTAATGTTTTATTTGTAACACAAAAACTTCCAACCTCAACTGTATTCTACACTTATGTTATCAAAAAGAAGCAAATTAAGTAACATATTTTAAAAAATCCACTCAAGAATGATTTTTCGCCCAATAAAATGACTGATGCATTTAAGAATGTATGCATGTAATAGCATGTTACATCAAAAACTATAGCATAATATTAAAAAATGGTTGATTACCGTGCCATTTGAGTGTCTCACTAGACGACGCGCTACCAGAACTAGTCGTCACCACACTATCTCTCCCACCTTCTCGTCTAGAACAGGAGGATTCCTCCTCCCAAGTTGCTGAAGAGTTGGGACGTGAAACTACTGCCTCACTATCTCGCCTCAATCTGTCCAAAAACGGCGTCGATGTTGAATCGGTACTCGACACATAACTGTGATAACCTTCACTTTGTGCATACGAAACTTGTTTCTGGTGATGTATATGCGTTAAAATACCGTCTTCATTCTTGTTAGACATCGAATTGAACAGAGATTCTTCATAGTTCCTGTTGTACTCCATGAATTCCTCTATGCCACTCTCTGTCAACCGGTGAGTACCTTTCTTGGAGTCCTCGTAAGAGAATTTGACGGGGTCTTGATAGGATAGTGCGTATTCTTCCAAGTCTTTTTGGGTGAGTTGGGGTTTGGAGAACTCGCGCTCGGGTGGAGAGGGTACCATGTAGTCCGCGTCACCTAATGGGTTTCCGTCGTGGTCGACGTTGGGCAAGTAGAGGCGATCGGAGATTTTCTCCTGGTGACGCGACTCGAACGTTTCGGGGGGAATTTTCTCGCAGCGTTCCATCACAGTTTTCAGTTTCTGAAAAGAAATTATATATCATTAACATTTGACAAAACTTATTTACAGGTATAATTAAACTGAATTCTAGACAGGGACCGGCAATAGTGTGTCGGGCATCTGTATCTCCTATAATAAAAAAACTCAGGGAAAAAAAAAGAAAAAGAAATTTTATATTTTAGAAAGTTTGGCATAAAATTTTGAATACCCTGTATGGTTACGATATTTATAGGCAAGTAAGTACAGACTAACTATAGTAAATACTTAGTATAATTGTCATTTCAGAACAGTTCTTGTGTTTCTAATATTTTTTTTTAATTAAGAAAAAATATTTTTTTTCTTTATTTATTAATATCTCTGAAACTATCAAAACATATTTAAGAAAAACTTAGGGTTATGTAAAGTGATTTTCTTTCTGATTCTGAGCCAAAAATGCAATAATATACAGGCAGCATTTTTTGAGATATCCTGTAGAAGTTAAAATATTTTCCTGAAATGCATCTTAATGCATACTTTAAGTTTGCGCTTATACAAAATTCCTAATTTTCTTATTATGTGAGCTACAGATGCCCGACGTACTAGCCTGTATGAATAAATTATTTATTAATTTATACTCCATTCTAGAGTAAGCCTATAATTTCGGATTATACTCGGGCTTTTAAGAAATTGACACTTATTTTCACTATGTTGTCTAAATATCCTCCTGAAAATTTAAAATAAGCATATACATTCTAATACCATTCTAAAGTAGGTACACCACAGCCTGTTCTACTAATTCAGGACCAAAATTATCACCACAATATTTGACATGCCAAACAGAGTAGCTGATTGTCATACATTTGAAATTTTCTTTAGGAATTCTTTAGGAATATCCTATTATCGTAACTATGTCCCATTGGAGACAGAATACTACATGTGCTGACATGGTAGTTAGAACAGGCGTAATACACTAGACGCTCATTTTGCTGCATTTTGGATGAGATTCCTTCTTTTCTTTTTTACTTTTCTATCTAACATCTATTTTAATCCGCTCTTTTTTTTTACTTTCGCTTTTCCTTTGGATACCTCATGGCTTCCAAATAGACCGACAATATTTTCTAATTATACTACTTGACAATACAGTCTATACTAAACTAGGTAGTATACGTGGTACTACCTGCTTGTTTTAGAAGTTAATACTAGGATCACATATCCTAGTATGTCTGTACGGCAGGAATAACAAATCCTGCTCCGTACACTACTGTTTGCAGACGACCAAGTGATAGTCACACCAGACGAGGATACCTAACAAAGGCAGGTTCATCTCCTAGACAAGATAATAAAAAAATGAAAATATGATGGAAAGATATCTACCAAAAAAACAAAAGTGATGGCACACTGGAGCAAAGATGGAATCTGCACAAATTAATAAATAAACCACTACAGCAAATATCGCACTTCACCTTCTTGGGATGCCACGTAACCTATAGACACTTGCTAGAAACGCAAGTAATACTATATAATACATTAGAGGTACCGATAGTATTATATTTAAGTGATGCCTAAACCAGCACAAAAATTAAAGACTTAGAACAACTAAGATGATATCCTTACGAATAAAAGGAATAAGTAATAAAAAAGGAATAAGTAGGGAAGATAGAATAAGAAATAACACAATAAGATATGAAGTAAAAATACAACCAACAGAAGAAAAAGCAAAAGTATATAAAAACAAATGAAAGGAACAGGTAGAAAGAATAAGAGATGATATAATTCAACAAATTAAAAAAATAAATTATTTTGTTGTGATATTTTTATTCCCTTAAGTTCAGTTCTTTTGTTTTTTGGTATATTTCTGATGTTAGTCTATTTAGATTCACTTTATTTTAAACATTTCAATTTGTTTTTGCAATATGCTTTTTTCTTTATTGTATTGTTGCACGTATTAATCAAATACATACACTTATACATTCTTACATTAACATACTGTTTGATATATTTTCATTTCTGTTGTTTTTTATGTTTCTGTTGATATCTTCTTTAGTTTTCGAAGTGTGACAATCACAACTTCAAACTGAACAACTTTAACTAAACAAAAATCAACAATCTTAGTGTTTTCTTTTTTAAACTGTTTATATGCGTCTCATTTTAAATTGACATACATTTTCATTCCTAAATAATTGGCTTCAGATATTTCTTTTATTTTTATTTTTTTATTTTTTAGATATATTCATTTCATTTGCTTGTTGTTTATGTTGAAGCTTAGAAACTCAGTCGTCGATTCATTTATTGTCAATGAAAATGTTAAGTAATGTTTACGATTGAGGAAATACTATGTTCTGCAATAGACGTGAGGCTTTTTGAAAAGCCAAAATTCATTCATGATCAACATTAACTACAAGAATGTGATCATGTAATTTGCCGATAACAATTAATAAAATATCTGTATTAAAACTGTCTTTAATACAAGAATTTGATTAGGTAATGGTGTTTTTGACAAAAGAACTTCTACTAATGCTTCTATGCAAAAGGGTCTTAAGTAACTTAAGAAGTAACTGAATATTAACTGTTAATATTCGGTGGTAAAGGTAACTCTTTGGTACAAGCTAACTTTCCCATGAAATGCATAGGCTTAAAATGTCCAAACCGATATAAAACGGATTACGAATAAGGCAGTCGATGGCGCAGCACAATTTATTTGTCATAAAGCCATCGGTCGTGTTGCGTGTCGCTCTTTTTTTCACCTCCCGTCGTAAAATACCACATTAAATATTTTTGCCGAGTGCGATCCGACGCGACGGTGCGTATCTAATCTCAATCATTTCCTTCCAAGGCCCCGCCATAGATATTACTCTCGTTTTGACACCGGAGGCTCACATCGGACAAGATAAATGGCAATAATCGGCACCTAAGCGTCATTTCCATTCGCCGACGGACGGTCGATCTATCGAGCTTTCTTCTCCTCCATTGATCACTGTCAGAGAAATCGACATCGTGGACAAAAACGCAAAAATCGACACCGCGAGGACTGTGAAGTAGAGATGAGCAAAACTGCGATTTTCCAATCGCAATTGAAATTGCGATTGCGATTTTTTAATCGCTGCGACTGTAACTTGCGATTTTAATATTTAAATATTGTACTAGGTATACAGGGTGGCGCCTCTCATACGACGCGGAGGCACCAAGAAGAAAGGGAGGTTATATCGAAATGAAATTTTGAGAGCATTATTTGTAGGTTAATTGAAATCATTTTATAAAAATATAAAGAGGGGTGTCCTATAAAACTGGGTGTCCCCCAAACCAAACCTTATATATTATTGATTTTCGGATTCTAGAAAAAAAAATAAAGGTGAGTTTCATTAAAGAAACATATACCTAAATTGTAAAGATTTTGACATATTTTACATTTTGTGAAAATGTAGAATAAATTCTAAATTTCAATAACAGCTACCTGAACTGTAATTCTTGCTCTGTATAGCCTGATATTTAATTACAATAACCATTGTAAGTTAAACCAAATTAAAATATGTCCCGAAAAGTCATACAGGGAAAGAAAAAATTAATATCGAACATTGGTCACTTTTAAAAGCAAGTTACTCCTTTATTTCAAATGGAACACCCAGTATATTATACTGGTATTCAATGGAGAATTCATATATCTTTAAAGTACTATTAAGGTTGCCCACCCCTCAGACAAAGATTTTCCTACATATTTTCATTTCTATGATTTTGCCTCGGTAGATCTTTATTATTTGATAAAATCTATGTGGCTGTGATATGCCTTTTGATAATTTAACAAGAATTAGAAGATGTAGAGTAAAATACTCAACGGTACTAAAAAGATACACGTTTAAAACATATATGAATTATTACAGAATTAAAACTATATAGATATAAACGTATACATGAGGGGTGTAGTAACAAAATGTACAATCTCCACTTTTTATAAAAAATGCGGTAAAATATGATTCGGATATAGTGATGGGCAAAACTGTTATTTTTAGATAACAGTTGAAACTGTTATAGTTATTTATAAAAAACAGCTTAAAATAACAGCTTAAAAATAACAGGTTTCTTTATTTTATTGCTAAATATCTGAAAGAGTATGAAGCGGTCGCCGCCAGGCGTATTGACGCAGTTGCAAGTTGCTACAATGACATACTCGGTGGTAGTATTTCCAGGGTGTCTAAACATTTCTAAATATCGATTGTTATCTAAAATACCTCTCTAAAAACGGTCGTTGTTTACAAATAAGCGCTGTTTACAAATTGCGATATAAAAAAGCCAAAATTCCGCCACTCGTCTATACGTATACATTCCGATCTACCTACGCCTTGCCCCTCGATCGGCGTAGATCCTGAATTGCGTAGCAGTGTACAGGGTGCATCTCACTCGACGGGCAAGAAGCTCTTAGTTATAATTTTACCATTTGTGGTCAAAAAATAGCAATATAAGAAAATGTGTAGTATATTCTTCATAAGTAAACCAACTATACACTAGAGTTCGAATTAATTTTACACTTAAACTAGCGTGTACCCGCGACTTCGTTCGCGTCGAATTAATAATTTGTAATGGTGATGATAAAGCAAAGCAAGAATTTCTATTGACATACAAACTGGATAAAATTTTCTCACATTTGCCAAAAATAAGCTTTAAACGTCGAGCAGTTTAAGCAGAATCGTGGTTAATCAATTACTCAACTTTTTGGAACACCCTGTATTATTTTTTAAAAAATTTCAAAATATGTAAAAAAACAAAATAAATTATGCGTGTCCAAGCGTTTTCCCGAAAGACTAACCGTTTTTTAAATAACAAATATTGTAATATTTGAGGGGCGTTTTCACCCTCTTGGAATTTAAGATTCGAGAAACCCCTCCTTATCGAACCTCAACCCCACAGTCAATCCGTTTGCCAAAAATCAGCTTTAAACGTCAAGCAGTTTAAGCAGAATCGTGATTACTCAATGGTCACATTTTATGAAACACCCTGTATATATTTTTAAAAAATCTTAAAATATGTAAAACAACGAAATAAAATATACG